AGGTAAGAAGAAACTGTATTTACTTGAAAGTTGTCAAGTGGCGATGCTCCAGGATTACTTACACTAGGCATGGTCAGACCTACGGCTTCTGATATTAGAGGGCATGGCAGACTGAGAAGCTTCGCCTTAGGTTTCCACTGATTCGGTTTTGCAGCTCCTGAGCCTCCTCCTTTGTGTGGGGCCACATGGTGCTTCATTTTGAGTTTCACTCTGGGATTGAACTGCTGCAACTGCTTCAGCTTTCATGCGTCTGGGTCTCTTTCTTGAAGAAAGATCAGCTGAAGGCACCTGGGTCTGCTCGGGTACATCTAAGTGATCTACCTCAAACTCTGAACGGGGCCACTCGGTACCACATCCAGGACAAGCCCTTGAACCCTAATGACTCATATGAACAAACAGATGCGAGTTGGCAATCTAAAAGAAGCATGAACTAACCAAGAGAATATCCTTCCACTGACAAATGTTGAAAAAATGGGTGAGAGAAGTTCATACCTTCCGTTGCGGAAATTTCTTCTTCAGACAGTAATAATGAATTCGGACAGTGCATCCTTCATTGGAACATACAGAAGCCTGTTGAGCAAAATTTGTGAGTGAAATAAATGATGATTACTGTATTCACATAAATTTATAACAAGCCAACTCTATCGTGCCATACCCACTGGCAGACAAGGAACATCATCTAACATAGGCATTGATTTTGCATGCCCAGTAAATCGGCATAAATAATTACTATAATTATAAGTAGATCTCTCTATTAATTAGACAGTTTGACATTCTCTCCAAGATGATCATCGTAGTCAAGTAGGGATGCCACTTGAAAAAACCCTCTCAGTGAACAGACAATCATCCAATCAGTAGCTCATTTGTCCCATATGAAGCCATTATTCCAGGAAATTCTGATGCTCTATACCATGCAATTGCTAACTATCATAGTGCCTAAGTTCTAGATCAGATATCATCAACTCAAACTTTACTCTGCTAGTATCTCCTAGAAGTGTGAACCCTATAGTGTCATCAGAGCAAATCTTGAACATTGGCCATGCATCACATTTAATTGTTACTGCATAGGCTTGGCGAACAAGAGAAGAGGTGATTTCTCTTAAAGATATATGACAATTGAAGCCTTTGAAGTTCATCCCAACATATAATAACTGAAAATATTGCATAAAAGGGCTTCCCATACTGCAACATGATTTTTTTTCTTCAGCATCATGTAAATCATCTAGCCAATATATTACACTTAAACCAAGAAAGTGCAAGCTGATAACAAAAGTATGCAAACAGAAGTACCCATCAACAATCAGAAATTTGCAATCTACCAATAAAAACTAATAGCAGAGTTTAACCACTACAGAAAACAAAAAGGATGATAATCAAAAGATCACCAAAAATGAGAATAAGTAGAAACATGCCTTCACTCCAGCTTCATTGCAGACCTCACATGATGGTACATCATTACTGAAAAACCAGCTCCTAAGATCAAAGAATGATCTTAAACCAAGGCCTATTCTACCATCAGAGGTATAGCACAGCCATTGGTCCTTTATGAGATCATTAAGAGTTTTCTCCTTCTGAGACATTGTGAAACTCTTGAACGCAGCAGGGATTCGAGATTGCGTATCCTGTGAACTCTGACAATTCTGAACCTGAAATAATTGTGTTTTGCTGATTAAAATTTGATGGCTTAAAGATAGTTATTCACCTGGTTAAGCCATTAAAAAGATAAAAGTCCTCGTGTTTCATAAGATAAACCTAATTAATCATACAGTGTTGTGATATGTACACAAGCATTAGAACACACCAATAAAGTAAAGCTTGGAAGGCAAGCCAAAGTAAGACATGGGTCTCATTAGTTCTGGTAAACAAAAACCGAAAATTTCATCTTCAACTTCAACTTATCATGTATCTTAAGTAAATGTTAATTCAAGAAGAAACTTCAAAGAGCTCCAAACCTGGCCTTTCCTTAACGTGGTTAATTAATAAGCTGTCATTGAAATTGCACACAATTATTTTCTTAGACCATAAGGAATCAAAAGTAGTAAATGGGTAATATGAGGTAAAAAAACATTACGTGTGTGATAGTCTAGTCAGTTCTGCGTACAGTTATATTGGATGAGATATAAACCTGAGCTAGGTTGCACCACTTAGTGGGCAATATTGATAGGAGGTAAGCAAAACAAAAAAAAAACAGATATGTCAATTGTTCAACCATGGAAAATTGATACTTGAAATCAAATTACTACAGACAACTCCAGTGTTCCACTGCTATAGAAGTTACAATAACTCACGTGCCAACATCCAAAAGCCATGTCAGATATTTAATTGCATGTCCATGAGTCAGATTCCTTAATGATACTATTCCAATACCAAATACATGGTAACAGTATAATAATTAGGCCTTTTCATGATACCAAAGCTGCTTAAGAACTAAGCTTTATATTTGTTGTTGATATACCTTAGTAGATGTCATCCTAATTTTATCAAAAACTTTCTAGCTTATTCATTTTAATGGGCATATTAGTATGCCTGTTTGAGGACAAATATTGATTGTTACAATTTAACTCAGGCCAAGAATTCTCATCAATTATGTCAATGGACTGTGCTGCTTGAAGCTTTCCCACACACGCTCATCTCAGAAACAACCATTACAGTGCATAGGCAACCTTGCTATTGTGGTTACAAGCCCTTGATACAATTGATATCTTCTGCTTTTCAATAGATGATGGTTTCATTTCAGGTTTACATGAGTGTCATTTTCCAGAATTTCTTCTAGTTAGCAAGATCCAGAAATTTTCTCATGTCTCTGCAGTATATTCTGCTCCCTATTTTCTAAAACGTGTCTAATGTGGTCATGCCCTATCTTCATTACTGCCTCACAGAAACCTAGCACTTAGTGTTGTTCTTTTCCCCCCTTTATATACACCACGTAGCAAGTTGAAATTTACCATCTTTAAAGAAAAAAAGTCTGAAAGAGAATCTCAAAGTTTCCAGGTACAAGAAAGGTTAGATTAAAATCAGAATACATTGTTTTGCATAATCTTTTCGACCAAAATAATTTCAAGAGCCTTCTATTATGAAGTTGACATAGAAATCATTAACTACTTGAAAGTCAAACAGATCTGCACTGATTGAAGGAATAACAACACAGATTCATAGTCTACACTTTTCATAGGAAATCTACTATACATTCAAATAAATGAGAAACAAAAAAAGAAAGAGGACGGAAAGATACATTATTTTTGCTTCACAGAATTAAGGAGGCAAACAGATGAAAACCTGATTTTCCAATTGAATGTGAAGTGCATCAATACTGCTTATGCAGCCTTGAGTTGCTACGTCCTGAACGATTGCTTCTACCTGGAACCAATAGAACCATATTTGGAGATTAAATTATTGATATTATAATGCCTTGACTTCTATCTTCAAAACTTACGGCAACTGGACTTAGGAGCAAAGCAATGTAGGCAAACATGCTCTCTCTCTACATTAAAAAATTAATGCTGCAAAACATGCAACAACAAATTTTCATGTGTTTAGTATACACTAGGCTCAATTAAGCTAGATGACTATCCAATAAGGAAATTCCTAACATATATATCCAACTTCGGCACCTGCCTTTTCTATAATGCCACTTATAGAGTTTCATTCACACAGAAAAGAAAACAAAAAAAATTTATATGTAAGATAAAAACTTCATAGTTTCATTAACAAAAAAAAGCAAATAAAAAGATTTCCCAGTCAGAATACTTATACATAAGAGAATAACTTCATACTTTCATCCATACAAAAAGACAAAAGAAAAAGTTTTCCAGATTGCATATTATTATTAAGATAAGATTTCATCTCAAAACTATCGGGCAGAAAAAAAGTTACCCAGAATTTACTATTGAAGAAAAGATCAAATAATTCCAAAGTGAATGATCCAAACAACACATACCACTCCCTTATAAAATGCAATTTGTGGAACAGAATACTTGGTTCCAAGCTTCGATTGCTCATCAGCTACATTGTTAACCATGCCATAGTGTACCTTACCATCATATTGGTTTTGACATGCTCGCAGCTCAAATTGCACATAAGCTAGTTCTTTGTTGATCTTGAGAAGAACTTCATTAAATAGTTGACGATGTGTAACTGCAAATAATTCCATATCAGTCACCGCAAAGCATTGGCATCCTAGACAAAGGCATTTCTTATACATCAACATTCAATATAACAAATCAATCATTCCATCGGTTAACGAAAGGTATGTCCCCTCTTCAAGAGCACCCTAAACACCTTCATAGACTATACTCGAAATCTGGAGCTAATATATCAAGAAGGATAAAAGGATTGCATCAAGATTACATATAAAAATCTACGAAGACTACACCACCTAAGTTGACGCTATGTGGAAACAGAAACGTAAGTCTGATCTGACAAGATTTTCAATAGTAAACGTATGAATAGAAATCTGCGCTACTGCATCACTCGCGGCCAAAGATTCAACATATCTAAAGATAAAATTCTTATCTTTACAGTAAAATTAGCATACAAACCTGGATCTTTCCCACTGACGCCGGCGAAGACCGCATGGAAGTCCTCTTCCGTCATCGGTCCACGGGAGAGCAAAGCCTGTATGAGGACGTGGTGTCTCCAGCTAAGTGCCATTCTTCCAGAAGCGCGCCGAGAAGAGGTTTCACGAAACCCTATTTCCACAACGAGGGAACCCAGCAAGATTGAGTTTGGAAAATAGGGGACGGAGAAGATGCTCTCATATACTCCTCAGGAACCCTAATTTCCATGTAAAAGCGGGGCGGGAAAGGAAGAGGGCGCGAGAAGAAAGGCGCTTTGTATCGGCTTCCATTGAAGATACCGACACAGGTATATATAACGGCAGGACCATTACGAAGATACTAGAATGAACGGTCAAGATTTTTTAGATTAGAGGGCCTGAAGGATTCTATTTCTTCGTATTACTTGAAGAGGATCCCCGCTCCTCCTTTTCCTGTTATTGCCAACCCGAAGTCGGTGGCCACCTGCGCTCTCTTTCCGCTCCTCGGCGATTCGCTTCCGTTCTCCGATCCGCGGGCTCCGATCGAAGCGCGGTGGCTCCGGGGGCGAATTCTTGCTCGGATCTTGAGAAACGAAGGCGTTTCCTCTTGGGGAGCTGCAGATCTTGAGGGGTTTAGGGCTGGAAATGGACGGCTTCAGCGCGAAGGATCTCTCCACGATCGGAGGGATCGCCACCGTCTCGCTGCTCCACTCCTTCATCCCCACCCACTGGCTCCCCTTCTCCGTCGTCGGCCGCGCCCAGAAATGGACCCTCCCGCGCACTCTCCTTGTCAGTGAGTCCCGGTGAACCATTCAAGATTTCTTTTCAGATCTTACTTTATTTCCTTTCCTTCTCTTCACTGGATCTTGTTGTTCTTCTTGATTGAATTCCGTTATTGGCAATGGAATGGATCTTGGAGCAAATTCATGATCCGTGCATGTTTGGGTTGTCAGGATAGTTTATTCTTTCTTGATTGTGGATATCTGGACTATTTTAGTGGTGCAAAACACTGTAACAGCTGCTAATTCTTCAGGTTGTACAATTCTTTCTGAGTGCGCTTCAGGATTATTAGAGATACCCACCTGACAATGATTTTTTTGGTAGTCGTAGCATTCTTTATATTGTCATTTGGTTGTGATTTGATCGATAAATTTATTTATGATTGGAATGATATGGTATGTAGAGATGACTGGGGCTCTCTATCTGTTGCTGGTTATACATCTCGTAGCAATCTTTTCTAGTGCAGGTCAAAAACTGTTCTTGGTCTTCTTGCTGGAGATTAACTTAACCGGTATGATACGCTCCACAAAATCGAGGAGTTGCTTTCAGTGAATATTTCTTTTCTGCTTTAAGGAATATTAAGCTTAAGTTTTGGTTTTCCTTCCTAATGCAATAACAGGAAATGGAATGATCCAAAGAGTGGAGTCGCATATTTTCATGAATTAAGAGACCCATAGACTAATGTGACATCCCTATTTCAGTTAAGCTCCTTATTGATCATGGGCCTCTCCCCTTGTCCAATGATTTGGGTGATAGTGGTAGTGGAACTTCTAACTAACTTGAGCATTTTGTAGAACCAGGATGTCATGTGCCTGCAGATAACATGAAGTCTTGCTAATATAGCTCTATGGCGTTGGCATTCACGCATGATTAACGATACACGATAGCTTTACTGGCATGGGGAAGTGCAATAAAATTGAAAACCTCTGTTGTTGCTTTCATTGAAACATGCCCCTATTAGTCAATTGGAGATGCGCTTCTTTCCTTTTTCATTAACCACAGCGAGATAATTCAGTCCATTTAGAAAATGCGCATTAAGGGTTTTGATGATGAGTCTTAGTATGTTAAGTAAGCACCAAACATTATTAAAATTTAAACATGCTTTATTTACTCAATGCACATTGATTATTCAGCTTTGTTGGTTAACTACTAGATTAGCTTTCGAGTGCTTGCTATAAAACTCAGTGGTGTGATAAAAATCGTAAGGGTAAACTATTTCTGAATCCTTTATTTTAGCAAAAGCTTCATTTGGAGGGTGCCAATTTGTATGGGTCTAGTTGATATTCAATGTGACTCCTGTCAACAGAGAATATGAATGTACATTTATGAAGGATATGATCGCTCTTATTAAGATGTTGAATATTAATGTTCTGAATACTTGTACATTAAGAACAAATTTGATTGGATCAATGAAGCTGCTCCTGAGATAGAGGTGCTGCAATGTGGTAATGCTTGACATAGCATTCAGCAGATGTTTTATATTGCAGGGAACATATGCAACTCAACTATATGCTGAATCATGCTGGTTTTAGACAGTGCGACTTTGGAAAAAATCTGCATATTAGGACACGCATGATTAGACAATTGCAAAATCCACAGATTAACTTCATTTGGTGAACAACAAATGGTGGCGGATACTGTTCCTAACCATATAACACTTGCCGCCTCATGTTCCAAAAGCATTTCTACAACAGTCCAGAATATTGGCTTAGAACAAGGTTGACTCTTGGAATTGTGCATTAAACTGAATCAATTAATGCAATTTGGAAGACATTTAGTCCTAAATAGATGCCTCACTAAACAGGCTAGAAAATTACACCTCAAAATGTAGATTTAAATTCAACAAAAACTTAATGCTGACAAGTCAGATTTTCGACTAGATATAGTAGAAATAGTTGGAGGTTTACCAACCTATGGTTTAAGAGGTACATTTTTGTTACAAGAGGCAATAATTGTTTAATCGATCAGCTTGTTTTGGATTTTGCCATTGTCACTATCTGAGTTGTAAAATCTTCTTTATCTGCAGCACTTTTTCCTGTTTAGGAAGAAAACTGAATGCCTTTCTTCTTCTCTCAACAGCTGTATTTGGAGCTGTCCTGCATGTGATTTCTACTTCTCTGCTTGGTATTGCTGCAATCACCATGGCCAACACCATTGCTGGTGAAGAGACAGTGCACAAGCTTGCTTCGTTGCTGCTCATAGTTCTTGGAGGAAGCTATATTCTTCTGTTTTTATTTGGTAAGAGAGGCCACAATCACTCTCACAATCATTCCATGGAGAAGATGGCAGTGGCTGGGCTTGTTCTTGTACCTGCGTTATCTCCTTGTGCAACAACTCTTCCTGTTTTCCTTGCTGTTGGCAACTCATCGTCTATGATGGTTCTAGCAATCATTGTGCTTCTGTTAAGGTAAGCTATTCTAAATTAAATTTTGAGAGGCTAGTGAATCAAAAGGTTTGGATCCAAATAAAACCTTTGTTTTGAGGCCAACATCAATAAAATATTTTTTTGTCAAGTAATGATTTAATATGTTAGGTGTATCAAGGCTTTCAGATCTAATTGGATTTGCTCTTTTCTCAATCTGGTGAATGACTATGCTTGTTCTGTAGGCATGCAGGGATGGGTGATTCTTGCTAAAATTAGATCAGATATAATGTTCCCAAATATAGGAGAAGAATCTTCCCATCAATCATATGTCACACATCATGGATTGACTATTGTTATTTCAATTTCTGAAGTATTGTCATTAGAGCATATCTGATTGTCTGATAGATGGATCTGTATCCTGAGTGATGGTACAAATATTTTCTAAGACTAGATATCTTGATGAATCTTGACCTAGAAATGTCAACATCTGAAAAAGTTTTTACAAACTTAGCATACCATACCTCATGTTTTAACAATCCAATGGGGGGAAAAAGAGACCAAAAAGAGGGATCACAAGTGTTTACTGGTGGTTGATTTCTTTTTCTAGTGGGGGAACAACCTGCATTTAACTTTTTGATGTTTCTTTTATTGTGGCAAAAATATAGTTGGTGTGCTATGATTTTCTTATAGTTTTATCTCTTTTCTCTGGTGTTTTAGGATTGCTAATATCACTCATGATTTCCTTTTCTGGATGTGCAGCACCATTACCGTCATGACATCTCTTGTGGCCCTTTCATTTTACGGTGCCAGCCAGCTCAAGTTTCACTGGGTTGAACGAAACGACAAGCTTCTCGTTGGCTCGGTGCTCGTCCTGGTCGGAATGCTTACCTTGATTTTCCATGATCATGATGATGAAAAGCATTCGATAGGGGAGCACCTTCACAGGAAGATTATCGTTTTGTGAGTATCTGGGCCTCGCATTACTTGTTGGAACCCATCTGTATCACGTTATAATTTTGGTCAGTCGGTTAACATGATTTTGGTCAGTCGATTGATACGAGGTAAAAGGATATTCTGTCTGTGGCTTCAACGAGAAAAAAGCTGCATTGTGCATTGTTCATATACATTACCGCTTTGAGGATTAGTATCCAACTATAAGACGCATTGTACATTTTGAGGAGCCTCAGAGACGGGAGCAATCGATTGTTTCCGTAACGTCGATTGTAATACAACTAATTTTGTCTTTTATCAATAGAATTAGTTTGTCACTGCTGGTTGATGACAAGAGATGTAGTCGATAATGGCACATAGAGTGATCGGTAATTGTTTTGTCAGACAACTTTTTATTATTTAGGTATGTTTGAGTAGAGCATAACACAAGTATGATTACACAAATGCAGAGGCTTGCTAAGCAATAATCGTAACTTCACTCAGGCCATGCTTAACCATGAAAATGTTTAGGTCAGGATGTATCTTTTTATTACATAAAAAGATACATCCTAGAGTGATCAGTAAATGTAAGAGGGTGCTTTAGTCACGTTTGATGCTTCTTCTTATATCTTTTTATGTAAGACGGATGTATCATGTGTCAAGTACATCAAATGTTTTATTAGTAATTGTCTTTTTGTCGAATGCAAAAGGGGACATTGGATTCTTTGTTTTTGTTTTGTTTTGTTATTGAGAAGGGACACTAGTTATGGACTGGTGGGGCCAAACTTGAATTAGTTAAGTTGGATAGTTGGATCTGGGGAGGTTGGTCTCAGGTGTGGCTTGGGACCAAGATAGGTCGGGATGATCATATCTTACCAGGACTTGTCATAGTTGAAAGGTTCTTTGTGTCGAAGAGAAGAACCATTTTGTTTGTTGTCCTCCTTCGCCCTCTTCCTATAACATGTGGCTTGTTACTCACCGACAGCCATTTTTTGTTGTTTGTGGTATTCGTTCAAGCCCTACCGATTCCATGTTCACACTGTGCATCACTGCTGATCTATTTATTATGTGCTTCACTATTCCTTCCATAATCTTAAAAGAGGCCAAACATAAAAATTGTTTCATGAAGCCGGCATCTGCATAGCTGCAATCGGATAACCCATGAGCTGACTTCCAACATAAATATAACATTAATATAGAACTAGTGCAAAGAAACTCCAATTTGATCTTATCAACTTAGTATGTAGAGCTGGAGTAGCTCAGATGGTTAGAGCGTGTGGCTGTTAACCACAAGGTCGAAGGTTCAAGCCCTTCCTCTAGCGGAAAAATCTTTAATAACTCATATTATTTTATATTTTCTAATTTCGTTTTTATGAGATTACATTTTTAATGATAACTCGTATTATTTTATATTTTTTGATTTAATTTGTTTTCGATTTCGTGTTTATGAGATTACATTTACTAGTATTCTTTGAACCACTTTTTATGATAACTCATATTATTTTATATTTTCTAATTTAATTTGTTTTCAATTTTGTGTTTGTTAGTGTAAACAACTTTTTAGTAGGGCGTCAGCGGGTGCCACGCAAGTCTTATCGTAATTATTGCCCTCATCAGTCTCCCCCCCGAAGGAAGCTATGCGTTAGTTACCGTAATGGGGGGGGTCTGAGGCATGGCTTCAGTTTTAAAGAACTTTCTTCGTCGGTCGAAGGCCGATACGCCGCCCTGGGCATGAAACTCGTAGTGCTTGGCAATCGAGGAAGGTCGGGTGAGCCATCACGGCGCTGGGTAGTGAATGGCCGAGGAACCTCGAAGAACGACTCGCAGGTCGGATTGGGTTCGGCCGTAGGGGCAGTAGCCCCCTCGGGCGAGTAGGTTGTGTGGGCGCGGTTTCGGACGTCATGAGGCCGAAGAGCACGACACAGGCGGCTGCTGCCGAGGAGCTGAACTCGGGCGAACAGGTCGCGCAAGCGTGGTTTCGGGCGTCATGAGGCCGAAGAGAACGACACAGGCGGCTGCTGTCGAGGAGCTGAACTCGGGCGAACAGGCCGCGCAGGCATGGTTTCAGACGTCATGAGGCCGAAGAGCACGACATAGGCGGCTGCTGCCGAGGAGCTGAACTCGGGCGAACGGGCCGTGCGGGCGTGGTTTCGGGCGTCATGAGGCCAAAGAGCACGACACGAGTGGCCGCTGCCGAGGAGTTGAACTCGGGCGAACAGGCCGCGCAGGCGTGGTTTCAGACATCATGAGGCCGAAGAGCACGACACA